GAGAGAGAGAGAGAGAGAGAGAGAGAGAGAGAGAGAGAGACTCAGGAATCAGCCAGATGTGAATTTGATCCCAGCATCATTCATTTCTGGCTGTGTGGTGCTGAGGAAGTTTTTTAACCTCTCATACCTCAGTTTCCACATCTATAAAATGGGTATTATAGAAGCATATATCCTATAGGTCCAACCCAGTAATAAGACATTAGTGCATCCGATTGGGTTCCGTCTGTAACCAAATTATGCAAAATTGCTCTGAGTTTGGGAGAGTCCCCTCTCCCTCTGTAAAATCTGCTATTTGACTCATGAAAAGTGAATGAAAGCTCTTTAGCAGTAACATAGCTGATAAATCAAAAGGTACCATTGTAACCTAGGAGTGGGAGGAGAAACAGACCAAAGGCAAGTCTGTGAGCCTAAGCAGTGAGAGGTGGAAGAGAAATACAGAACAAGAGTTCTCAACCCTGCCTGGGCTTCAGCGTCAGTTCTGGAGCTGTAGCGAAGCAGGTTCCTGGGCCTGAGCCTATACCTGTGGACGTGGGCTCTCTCAAGATGGGGCTGAGAAATCTGCATTTCAGAAAAGCTGCCCAAGTGACTGTGATAGTCAGCCAGGGCTGGCCCACTCCATCTTCTGCATGGTAGACAAGGGACCGTAGGGAACAGAGGGACTTTGGAGGTCAGCCATCTAGAGCAGAGGGGTGGGAATGTGATTCTGAAACCCCTGCCCAGGGGCACCTGCTGAGCTGGGATCTGGGTCTTGTCACTTCTTCTCCCAGGTGGCAGGTGGAACTGCAAGATAAAGGCGAGGACACCATAGAGCCATGCCTGTGCGAAGCTTTGGACTTTCCTCAACTTTCATGTTCTCCTTTCCTCCTCTGCCCTCTCTGTTCCCTGGCTCTCTCCCCTCTCCTCCTCTCTCCTCTCCCCACCAGTTAGCCACTCAGCTGGAGGCTCCAGGGCTCCATTCAACTACTGAACAGATGATCCTTCTAGATGGCCACATGACAATGGGATCTCTGCCCAGCACACCCTAGCCAGGGAACTCTCAGAAGAGAAAGCCTCTCCTCTTTCTCCTTCCCCACCCTTGTCTTCTTCTGGGAAACAGATGCTTCTGGGAGAGGTCTCTGGGATTAATCTTGTTTGGCTGAGCAAGATGTTTTGTTGCTAAGACTGCTGAAATTCTATCTGGGTGTCTGTTCCCAAGCCTCACAAAATGAAGGATTCCAGAGAATTCCATGACCTTGCTTCCCCAGGTTGAACATCTTTATCCAAAGCATAGTTATGTAACTTCTCAAATTAGTGGACTTGCCCATTTTCAAGAAACTCCTGCAGAAAGTGTGGAAGCTTTTTTGTTTTTGTTTTTGTTTTTGTTTTTGTTTTTGTTTTTCCTGAGAAAGCTGTACACCCAGGCAGGCTTTACGGTTGTTACTGATGGCTATGGATCCTTACTGGGTAAGTGCCCCTTAAAGGTCCCATGGTCCTCTAAGGAGATGGTAGAAACTTTTAAGAGATGTGGCAGTTATGATTGACACATTGTGTCACACTGAGAAGTTTAGAAGATCAATTAAAGACCTCAGCAGGAAGCCAGGGTCTCTATTTTGTAAACAACCTCATCCCTGTGAGAAAAAGGCATGGAAATCTTGTGAGTACTACACCCGCCCCACCCCCAGAGGGAGGGCAGCCTGGGACAATACAGGGAAGGAAAGAGGCTTTCTCTCCCTACCCCTTTCACCCTGTTGCTTTTCTCTCTTCTACCACCTTGAACTGTTGCTCCTCTGCCATGCCACCCTGCCTTGGAGCCAGCTGATTAGGGACTGAAACCTCCACAGTGAGCTAAATAAAGCTCTTTTTCCTTAGTTTGGGAAGTTGGATATGTTGTCTCAGTAAGACAAAAGCAACTAAGTTAGAAGTTGGTACCAGAGTAGTGGGTTTGTCGCTGTGACTGTACCTGACCATGTGGTTCAAGAGCCTTTGGGAATGGCTTATGGGAAGAGAGCAGAAAGGTTCAGAGATGTCCCCTGAAACAGAAGCTCTGGAATGCCTTTGGCTGTTCTGAATGGGAGACTGTGGTCTAAACAGAAGATCAGAAGACTGACAGAAATCCTGCTAGTAAATACCAGGTTTGGAAGGCTTCTGCTGGGAAACGGGACTGCATTGGTTGTTGGACTCCAGAGGATATATATTATGGCTTGTCAAAAAGTTCGTCTAGGGGCTGGGGAGATGGCTCAGTGGAATAAGCGCTTCCCTGGCAAGCGCAAGGGCCTGAGTTCAATCCCCGGTTCCGCAAAAAAAAAAAAAGTTTGTCTGCATTTTAATCGTGTTCAGACACTTTGCCTGAGACTGAAGTTAGGACAGTGGACAGATGAATCTGCCAGAAGAAATTTCAAGGCAGTTGAATATTCACACTACAGCATGGGATAGTTGGGGGCTTTTAGCCAGATTTATGTTGAGAATCAAAAGCAAAGAACCCAGCAGGATGACTTAAAACATTGTGAATTTGGCCAGAAAGGAAGCTACAGTGAAGCTGTGGACTACAAAGATACAGCAGAGGAGATCTTGACTGCTGAGAAAGTACAGGAGACTAGAAAATGTGGCCTGAGGGTGTCACAAGAAGCAGCAGGTCTCCACCCTTTGCAGCTTCAAAGTAAAAGTGAAAGACTTAGCTTTGAGGAGAAAGCCACAGAGCACCATGTTCCAGAATGGAAGCAGCGAAGAGAATTTATTCCTCAAAATTGGATTCAGAGCTGCCCAGCGATCCAAGCATTCAACCCCTACAGCCAAGAGAGAAGCATGCCTGGCTACTACCCCAACTGGCAGCGGATGTTGGCATTATCCACATGGCATTGGTTTTAGTCACATACAGAATGCAACATTTCTGAGGTTAAAATTAGGAGGCAAGAGGGCAGTGTGTGAAGCTGTGAGTGAGAAGCCGAAGACAGCGGAGAGCCCAGAAGTTTGGAAAAACCAGGAATGTGGATCCCCCTAAGGAAAGCTGCAAGGAGGGAGCAAAGTGGACCTAAGAGAGAAGCCGAGGGAGCTACAAGCACCGGAAATGCCACAGGGGGAGAGTCGGGCAAGCTCTGGGGCACTCATAACTCGCCACGGATTGCTTCAGATGCTGGAGGTAGAACTACAGGACTTAATGCTTGCCTTGCTGTATTTTGGACTTGCATTAGTCCCACTCCTTTGTATTCCAGCTTGTAACTTTTGGAATGAAAATGTTTATTTTGTGCCATTAAATGTTGGAAGTGTCTAACTTTTCATTTACACAGAGATTTGCAACTAGAGTTTGCCTTGCATCTGGGAGGAGACTTGGGACTTGGGCTTTTCCACAATGCTGAAACCATTAGCGCTTTGGCAACTGTTGGAGATGGATTACATGACTTTTGCATAAAGGGATGTGCATGAGTTGGGGAGGGGGGTGTCCAGATGCAGGATGCTATGGTTCTAATAGCATTCTGGTAATAGAATGTGGATAGACTTACTACTGGTTCTTAGGGATTATTAAATCTGGGTTATAGTGTTCAACTTGTGAAATGGCATGAATAAGCATGTCTTTGTATCTGGAAACTGGTTTGAAGAACTGTGTCTGGTTGCCAGATTGACAAGGGGTGGATTGTTACGGTTGATACACTGGGTCAACTTGAGAGGTTTATTTATTTATTTATTTATTTATTTATGTATTTATTCGAGAAGTTTAAAAGGTTAATTAAGATGACCACAGCTGGGGTAGGGTGCTCATGTTGTAAACATCCTCATCTTGTACAAGAGGAAGGCATGGAGAGTGTGTGTGCTACACAGGAGGAGCATAGCCTGAAGAAAAGGAACTCGTTCTCCTGGCTCCTTTTGCTCTTGTTGCATTTGCTGTCTTCTACCATCTTAAACTATTGCCCCTGGGTCGTGCCGTCCTGCCTTAGAGCCAGCTGATTAGGGCCTGAAACCTCCACAAACTGTGAGTTAAATGAACCTTTTCTCTTTTAATTTGGGGTGTTGGATATTTTGTCTCAGCAATGAGAGAAAAGTGAGCTAGGGCCTCGTGGGAGGTCTTTAGGTTGTTGGGGGATGCATCTCTTGAAGGACTTGAGGAAACTCCTGGCTCGTGCACTGCCTGCCTTTTTCTTTCTGGCCACAAGGTGAGCAGTTCTGTTTTACCATTCAGGCTCACTATTACCAAATCTCGATACAACTGCCAGAGGCCTGAGAGCTTCCATTCAATCATGGACTGGAACATCTAAGACCAGAAGGCACAAGGAGCCTTCTCTCTTTATAAGATGAATACATCATGTACTTGTCATAGCTATGGAAAGGCGGCTGACACACAGACTACCCATGCAGAGGGGACTCTCAGCCCCGGCAGACACAGGAGGACCCAGGATCCCGCCACCCAGCCTCGCTCCTCCTCACTCTCACTCCACACCCTCTCCATTCTTTCTAATTACTTTACCGAGGGTAACCAGCATTTGGTAGGTGCAGCTTTTTGGTCATTCCATTTCCTGATTCTAGGGGTAGGGGATGTCTTGTGGCTCGGTTTTCCTGGAAATCTCCCACTTTGCATCTCTTGAACAATTTCATGGCTGATGGATCGTGCCTAGCCAGTCAGCATGCCGTAGATACTGCCCAGCCACCACACTGCCTAAAGAAATATGCCTCGGGCCCAGGGAGATAGCTCAGTAGAATAAGTGCTTGCCTGGCAAGC